ATGTAATCTTCCTAATCTACCTTTTTTAAATAAAGGAATTTAATCGTCCTCATTTAAATTATAGGTTTTTAACAGGCATCTTCACAAATAATCATTACCTTTTTTTACTCTGCCGGCTGCCGTATACTGAGAAATCCTTTCGTATAATGTTCGGCAACAATGTGTATGGATTCCCTTTTAAAATAAGAAAAATAAAGCTATAAATCCCAATGACTTCAGTCTTATAAAACAGAGTTTTCAAACTGGCACTCTCATAATCAAAGTGAAGTCAAAGTCGACCCCTGGTGCACCAATAACCATTAAACATTAAACATTTTAATAAACATTAGCATAAAATGAAATAATTAAATCAAATAATAAAAGTATGATACTAATAATAAAAGTATGATACTAATAGCTAGTAATCAAAACTAGCTTGTAATAAATCACCAAATTTCAACAAATTATGAATTGTTGCAAAACTTTTGAGATGGAGAAATTGAAATAATAATTACTTGATACTGTATTGAAACATTTCTCATTATGGCGCATTATCATTTTTCAGCACAGATCACATTTGTTTTGTTGCAGTTATTGCTTCTTGTCAGCAGGTGGCGCTGCTGTGACTGTAATGTAGAAGAGGTGATATAAAGAGCAGGATACAGAACATACCAGACAACATGTTCTGTTTTGGCGTCTGGCTTAACTGTGCGTTAATGTTTTGTTTTTTTAATGAAAAAAAAAAAAGTATTTTTATTGCAATAGCCACAACACTATCTGAAAGTCATTTAGATTTTTAATTTATTGTGTTTTAATCTTTGAGAACTTGTCTTTCTTCAAATATTTTTGATTTAGTCTTTAAGAAAATAATATGTAAAGCTCCAGACCTAATTTCAAGAGTAAAGCAGTTTATTTTTCCCGTACAACGATTATTTAAGAATTATTAAAAGTGAGAAGTTGCTACATTGAAGCAACTGAGACTAAAAGAGCATGAGATGGATGATGAATGGTTTGAGTAAAACAAAGCAACAACAACAACAAAAATATAAATGTAAGAATTAAAGCATGTACATTTTTCTTTCTGGCACCTTAAATAATTAAATGATAAATAATAATTATTATTATTATTTCAGTGTGGTGACATTTCTTTTCAGTTTTCCCTTCAAATTAGGAAGAAAAACAAAAACTGGGGTCTGTGGTCCTGTTGAAACTTGTTCTGTGGAAAAACACTGACACCTTCTGGAAGGATTAAACAATAAATCAATATGTTCCTATTTTCACATCCTTTTAGAAACAAAATAAGTTTTTTACAGTTGTTCCAAAACCAAAAGCTTTACCTTCTGGAGAACAAGAGGGTTTTATAACCATCTATCCACTTTTGGGCTGAAGTGGCAATATTCCTGTGTTAAAAGTCAAAATAGATACAGCTTGACCTTTGGTCTCCACAGCACCAATCTTGATTTTAGACACTTTTAGCTTCATATATGTTCTTGAAGTGCTCGTCAATTACTTTAAAAAAACAACCCAAGTGTGCTCTTTGACATGCATTATCATTGTAAGTTAACTCGGTGTTACCAGATGAATGTAAACTACCGAGGCTCTTTGTCAGCGAGCCTTTTTGAGTTACTTCATGCCAAAAGTCCTAACCTGACATGTTCTTGTGAAATTATCGCTTCTTGTATCTGACTTCATAACCACCTATGATGACTTGATACATTTAAAGATGTTTTATTTTAAAACATAAAAGCTTATCATTCCTTGAGGGAATTTAAACCACCTGCTGCTGCCTGGCACTCCAAAGTTTTGAACAAAGATGATGTGCAATCTTTTAGTGCTTAGAGTATGTGTTGGGGAAGACTCTCAGCAACTACCACGCAGAATTTTAGCTCAATGTCTGTGAAACTTACTGAGGTACTGCCCCTTATACTGTATGTTGGCTAAGGCTGGTCAGCCATCTTGAATTGAGCTAACTCCAAAAGTTAATCCAATATTCAGTAAATACTTTTGAGAGTTTATTACTTATTTGTGAAATATTTTGCTAACAAACATACACACACACACACAGAGACAAATGCAGGTAATTACAATGATCACTCTGGCAGTGGGTAATAATGCTGCAGCAGCATGCACTGTAAAAAAAAAAAGTTATTCTGGATATGACTTTAACTTTCCTATTTATGTTTTTTTTTTGTTTGTTTGTTTCATTTCCTTGCTGTTGTGATTTATTATGATTTTCAAAGTTGATCTTTGTATCTTTGGTTCATGACCAAGTGCATGTCAAAGGTTCCCACCGCACATTTCTTTCTGAGGGTGTATATATTGTAAATATTTCATTTGTAAATCTATGTAAAGAAATCATA